AGTTCTTGATTTACAGTCGACTCAAGGGACTTAAGATTTTTGTCAGCATATATGGCATTTGTGTCAGCATTCGTCTCTGCTTATGGTTTTAAAACTATACCAGAAGATTTAAAAATTATCACATTACCCGCACCTTCCTTTCACCCACACCAACAAATGTTTGCATTGAAATTAACAGATTACCCGCAGGTAATCAGCCAGAAATTACGGTACTGTGATTATCAGTTGAGTAAGCCATTGCAAAAGTTTGGTGACCAGGTTTTAATGTTCAGCTCGTGTTGTCTTCACGGGCAACTGGCTTCATTTCCAGTGACAACTTGTCGACCTTTGACATTATTGGCAGCAAAGTGGGCGAAAGGGGATGATGTTATATTGTTGCCACTGGAAACAAGTAAAGTTGTCTATGGTAACACTGTAATTTTAAGGCCAAAACTTCATTGCCAAAGCTCTGTTTCACCTTACTCAACTGATAATCGTAGCATAGAACTTGTAATGACTGTAAATAGTGTACTGTCTGTTTCCTGCTTGTGTTAGGTTCCGGTGAGGATTCACCTCCCCACGAACCAAATCTCCCTGTACACATAAGGACCATAGTATGCATATCAGAGTACATGACTCAAAATTCTGTATTGTTAAGAAGTGCATATATATATAATACATGTAGCTATACAAAAACTGGAACATGATCTGTTATGTTGCAGATACCATCAAAAGTACATGCTGCGTCAACGCCCCACTTTGCTGAAGAGTTTAGGGTTAAATGATGAAGAACTTAAGAAGTCTCGAGTTGCAGCTCGTTTGAATGGTTATGTTGGAGGGTTTGGTTCACTGAAGAGTTTTGAAGCTGAAGTGGATAAGCTAAAACTCAGTGAAGCCCAAGCAGATTTGGTCAGAGAAATCATAGGAAAGAAACGATTCTAAATTGAATCAGCTCATCGAGCAATAAGCACTTACATGTAATGACTGGCCCCATGGGAAACAGTGAGATTTGTATCCCGGAACCCTCATTATCTTCCAAGGCAGAGCCAAGGGAAACATCAAGGGTTGAGGGAAAGCAAAACTCACTGTGTCCTATGGGACCAGTCATGTGTTTTGTTATGCCTCCCAACTCAAAATTTGAACAAATTGTGAAAAAATTATTTGCTTGACTCTGGCTGGCACACAAATTTGTTGCAGTTCCAGGGTGTGCAACCTGATCGTGTGCAAGTTGTTGTTTCCCTAGGGAGTCAGTGAGTTCTGACCTTTGACACATGACATTTTCTCCTCCAATCAGAAAATGTATTTGAGTTGGGAGGTATAAATGCTGTTAAGCATGTTACTATATGTGGTCAGCGTGCAGTGTACTATTAATAGTTTTCACCCTTTAATTGTAACATTCAGTGCTCTAAACAGAAAGTTATTTACAGATCCGTCAGTAGTAGAAATGATGTTGGTTTGCTTTTATAGTGCTTAGTGCCAGACCCATTGCGCATGAAGTCTTGCAATTTAAACTTGTGGTGTGTTGCAGGATGGAGAATTCAACTGCTTTGGGTAGACCTGAGTCTAAAGTGAAATCACTGAGTTACTGTTACATTGTACAAACTCCTGACTGGAGTCTCTCAATATTTAGCTTAATTACATGCACTTATACATGAAGATATAAAGATTTCAGTATTTAATACAAAAGCTGTGAATAAACTTATGTAGTAAGACACTTTCTTTGGAATTTCTCTTCCCATTTCTAGTTGTGTGTTTCATTTCATATTATTTTGTGTCTCACCTTCACGGGGTCTGGACATCAATGTTTATTGCCTTGTTTGACCTATCATCCTTTGTAAAGCCCCTGTGCTTGATGTACAATGTCCATAGTTCGATCTCCTGTTATTGTAAATCCCCAATACACAAGTGTTGATTTTGGATGGGTCGTCTTGTAGTCTTGCAGTTGTGAGCAACGATATGGTTGATGATGGTCCCCAAAGGCAGCCACTGACCAATCAAGCTTAAGTTAACTACAAGCAACTACCTATTAACAATCTCAAATGTCGATGCTTGTAACAAAACCTGGAATGACAAATTGGAGCGACTGCTCAATAATTTGACAGTCTCCAGTCTAATACCTATCTAACGTGCCTTCTCCCTCACCTGTTCTGCTGTGTACCTCTTGGACAGACGGGGTGATTTCTTTTTAAAATTAGAAGCATTAAAACATTTTGTGTCATGCAACATGACTACACACTAGTTATGCAATGCTTTCTAGTGGTATACCATTGAATGTTCCAGGAGTCACTTGGATGTTTTTTGGCGAGTGTGTATACCGAGAAAATGCAAGTGACAAGACGGATATTCCATGGTGTACCATGAGAAAGCATTGCCCAACTATGACTATTTTATACCATGTCATAGAAAATACAGTGGCCATCACAATCAGCGTGGCATACGTGTGGCGAATGATGGGAAGCTTAGATGTAATACCATCAAATATACAGTGACTTACCTGCATTCTGATTGGCTGTAAGTTTTTCTATGGCATGGTATAAAATCCTATATTTTGGCAATGATTCACTTGATCCCCTTCAAGTGCACATAACAGATCTCTTTCTTGAAATAATTATGTATGCCAGCCTATTTATTGCTATAACCTATGGTATCTGGGTATTTCCTGTAGCTGCTGGCTTGGTGAATTTCTCTCTTTGAATTCACCCCCNCCCCCCCATTGCTGAAGATGTGAATATGCAGGCCCAGGAGTCACTGCCCAAAGTGTGTTTTAAGAATGGAGACCTTTCTACTGGGAAAAAGGAAGTGATGTAAATTTGTCAGCAACTAGAGAAAAATTATTTTAAATACATACGTAGGTTGTAGTTTGATGGTCTTAGAAATTAGATAAATTCTGTCAAAGTGGTCCTGCTCTTGTACAGATTTGTTTTTCCTCCAAGTATGAACTACCAGTCATGGGCACATAGCCACAAGTCAGTTCAAGTCAGTGAGGCCAAAATACCGTAAATCCTGGAATTAGTCCCCCTCCCCCTCGAATAAACACCCCTTGAATAAGCGCCCCTCCTATCGGCCAAAATTTAAAATAAGTGCCCTCCCTCAAATAAACGCACCCCTCCCCTCCTCCCATTTTGTGGACAAATAACAAGACAACAAAGGATGTATAGTTTTCATTGTGTAGTATCAGATTTGTGCATTGTTTCAGTTTTGAAAAAAAAGTTACAAGTACTGCAATTTTAAGTTTAGGATCAGCTTTTTATGTCAGTAAACAGCTTATGTTGTTGTTTACGTGCAGAAGATGTATCCGAAAAATGATCATGTCAGGCCACGATTTGAAAGAAATTAAATAAGCGCCCCCCCGCCCCCCGACTCCTCGATTAAGCGTCCCCCGTCTTCTCCTAAATCTGAAATAAGCGCCCCAGCCGGGTGCTAATTCGAGGATTTACGGTACACGAAATATACTTGATGTACTTGCACAGAGTGACGTTAAGCGTTAGTCTCCCCAGTCGACAGTTTCACCCAAAGCGCGCGTGGAATAACACATTTCAGGAAGGAAATATCAATTGACATTCCCATCTGGTTCGTGCTCAGCTGCACAACTCCACTTCGAAATAAGTTGAAGTCACGGTTCTTTTCGGTGTATTTAAACTTGCTCGAGGCTTTATTCGTAAGACTAAATTCTTGCGCGCCTGGGTGCAAAAAATGGCGGACAAGCCTTTGGGGATCGTAGTTGTCGGCTTAGGACGTGCGGGAAAAGCCAGGGTACGAGACTTGAAACAGAAAGTGTTGGGAGAGAGTGCTGTTCTTCGAGGAGTAATCTCAAGGTAAGGCTGCATAGTGTTACAATATACGCCTCTTCCGGTTGATTGTTATTCGTAGTGATTGTGCAATGACGATATATCGAGTTACGTGTGATCCGAATAAAGTTCTCATGTCATCCTGCACATGGTCGTGTACACAACTTGATACATGGTGTCAGAAGTAAAACTACCCCAATACTAGTGAATACGCCTCTATAGGCCGACCATTGCTGTTACTACGAGTATTACACTCATTTCAAGGAACACAGTCGCTCTACACGATGCCAGAGACAGAACCGTCGACGAGTGCCCCACGTGCGCTTACATTTACGTCGAATTTCCCGATTCCTTCGCCGATGAACGTCAAGGGCGATGCAGTGAACAATTGGGAATTCTTTCGGCAACAGTGGACAGACTACGAAGTCGCCACAAGCCTCGACAAGCAAGAACAGAAGATTCGTCTGGCTACATTTCGTTCCGTAATGGGCAAGGAATGTTTGCAGATATTTCTAAACCTGAAACTCAGCCCCGAGGAGCGAGACGACATAAGCGAATGCATTAAGGCGTTAGAGTCGTATTTCAAACCGAAGAGAAATGTAGTCTACGAGCGCTACCAATTCAACATGTGCACACAGAACCTCGAAGAGCCCGTGGATAGTTTCATTAACCGATTGCGAAAGGCCGCATCCACGTGTGAATTCGGAATGCTGACAGACGAGCTGATCAGAGACAGATTGGTTATTGGTCTACAGGATCATTCAACAAAACTGCGTCTCCTGAAAGAAGAAACTCTAGATCTCAACAAGGCCCTCAACATTTGTAGGTCAAGCGAAGCTGCAAGCCACCAGCTAAAAGCCATGAAGATAGACGAAAAAAAAGCCACAGAGGAGGTCCGTGTTGTTCGAGAACGCAATTCACGTGATCACAAGAAACGTGATCCCAAGAAACGTGATCCCAAGAAACGTCAAGATCAAGCGCCAATGCGAAAAGAGTGGCAGTGCTTTAATTGTGGAGGAAAACAGAGACACAACCTCGAAAATTGTCCGGCTTACGGCCATGAATGCAAAGCATGCAAGAAGCCCAACCACTTCGCGTCAGTATGCAGATCAGCTCCTAGACGACAAGTTAAACAAATAGCCGAGGAAACCGATGACGAACAGGAAACAGACTCCGATGAATTCTTATACCAAGTCGAAGAAGTTTCGTCAGTGCAAGCCAAAGGGAAACAGCTCTTCGCCTCGCTCGAATTCTACGACGCTAACGCTCGTTACAAGACAAAATTGGATTGTCAGTTGGACACAGGAGCGACGTGCAATGTTCTAACTCATCACGACCTGTCAGTCATCAGCCAGAACGGAAATCCGGCTCTCCAAACAAGCAAGGTCACACTCCGTTTGTTTAATGGCTCGGTGATGAAACCACTTGGAGAAGTGAAACTCAACGTTCTCAAAGAAAACAAGCAACGGCACGAGCTCAAGTTTCAAGTTGTAGAAGGAAACAGCAAGCCGTTATTGTCCGCAGAAACTTGTGAAACGCTAGGACTACTAAAAATAAACTGTGAGCCGACAACGTTAGTTAACACTATTCAAGAAACCAAACCACTGCTCACCAAAGAAAAGGTCCTCACTGACTTTAAAGACGTGTTTGAAGGCCTCGGACACATTGGCAAAGCAAGTTTCACAGTTGACCCAGAAGTCACGCCAGTGCATCACGCACCCAGACGCATTGCAGTCACGCTACACAAAGAAGTCAAAGCAAAACTAGAAGAGCTTGAGAAGAAGAACATCCTAGTAAAGGAAACTGAACCCACTGATTGGATCAGCAGTATGGTCGTCGTTGCCAAGCCTGGCAAAATCAGAATATGTCTAGATCCCAAGGACCTTAACGGAGCAGTAAAACGGCCAAAATACCAGATGCCAACCTTAGAAGAAGTCCTTCCACGGCTAAGCAACGCCAAAGTCTTCACAACGCTAGATGCAAAGGATGGATTTTACCAGATTAGTTTGGACGAAACAAGCAGCAAAATGACCACCTTTTGGACGCCCATGGGCCGGTACCGCTACCTCCGCATGCCGTTTGGCGTCTGTGCCGCACCGGAGGAATTTGAATGCAAACTACATGAGCACCTTGGTGACTTGGAGGGCGTAGAAGTGCTACGAGACGACATTCTGGTGATAGGGTCTGGTGATACTCTGGAGGAAGCCAATGCAGACCACGACAAAAACTTGCTTCAACTTCTGAAAAGAGCACGCAAGGTTAATCTGAAGTTTAACAGCAAGAAGCTGAACCTCCGAAAGCCAGAAGTCAAGTACATGGGTCATGTCCTCTCCAGGGAAGGGCTCAAACCAGACCCAGATAAAGTGCAAGCTGTCAGCGAAATGCCCAAGCCCACCTGCAAACAGGAAACACTCAGTCTTCTTGGCTTTGTAAACTATCTCGCCAAGTTCCTTCCCCGGTTGTCAGAGATTGCCCAACCAATACGAGAACTGACCAAGAAGGATGCGAGGTTCATTTGGTCCAGACAGCACGATGAAGCCTTTGAGCAGATCAGAAAACTAGTGACAAGCCACCCAGTGCTCAAGTACTACGACATGAATGCCGAGGTAACCCTACAGTGTGATGCCAGCGAGAAGGGCCTCGGAGCTACATTGTTGCAAAACGGACAACCAGTTGCGTTCGCCTCCAGAACACTCTCACAAGTAGAGCAACGGTATGCACAGATAGAAAAGGAGTGCCTGGCCATCGTCTTTGGCTGTTCCAAATTCAGCCAGTACATTACAAGAAGAGGGAAAATCACTGTTGAGACTGACCACAAGCCGCTACAACCCATCTTTAAGAAGTCTCTCCTAGCAGCCCCAAGCAGACTACAGAGAATGCTCCTGCGACTTCAAAGGTACAACTTAGAAGTGACGTACAAACCAGGATCCCAAATGTATGTAGCAGACCACCTGTCAAGAGCTTATCTCAAGAATCAAGACGATCAGCCTCACGACGACTTTCAGGTGTTCGCTCTAGAACTTGAAGAAATTAACCCATTGGATACAGTCAAGATCACCAGTGAAAGATTAGCACAACTCCAAAAAGCCACAGAACACGATCCTGTAATGCAGACACTCAAGAGCACCATACTCGTGGGATGGCCTGACACAAGAGAACAAGTTCCTATATCCATCCGAGAGTACTGGAATTTCAGAGAAGATCTCACACTGCACAATGGCATACTCTTTAAAAGCCAGCGCATTATCATTCCTCGTGCGCTGAGAACTGAGGTGATATCACGGCTACACGCCAGTCATCTTGGAATAGAAGCATGCCTGAGAAAAGCAAGAGATCGAGTCTACTGGCCAGCCATGAACAGTGACATCAAAGAAGCAGTAGCGAAGTGTGACGTGTGTGCCGAGTATCAAGCGAGTAACCCTCAACAGCCACTGCAGACTCACAAGATTCCAGACAGGCCTTGGAGTCGACTAGCCGCAGATTTGTTTACGCTTCACTCTAAGGACTATATAGTCCTTGTAGATTATTACTCCGACTTTGTCGAAGTCAGCCCTCTCAAGCAGACCACCTCGTCAGCCATAATCAAGTTCATGAGAGTACAGTTCAGTCGATACGGTATTCCGGATATCTTGGTTTCCGACAATGGACCACAGTTCGCCAGTAGAGAGTTTGCCGAGTTCGCAAAACAGTGGGAGTTTCAACATGTCACCTCATCTCCTTACCACCCAAAGTCCAACGGAAAGGCAGAATCAGCAGTCAAAGCTGTCAAAAGTCTCTTCAAGAAGGCCCTGAAAGATGACAAAGACCCCTGGCTAAGTTTGTTGTCCTACAGAAATACCCCTACAGCTGAAATACAGTCAAGCCCAGTCCAGCGGCTGATGTCAAGAAGAACAAAGACACTAGTTCCCATAGCAACCAACCTGCTGTATCCTGAAGTCCCTGAAGGAGTGCCAGACAAAATCCAGCAGAAACGTCAGAAAGCCAAGAGCTACCATGATAGAAATGTCAAAGTGTTACCAGACCTCGACATTGGTCAGGAGGTACGCATTGCTCCACTCCACAGAGGCAAGTCTTGGGAAGCGGGAACCTGTCTACAGAAGCTTTCTGATAGATCCTACCTGGTAGAAGCCAACGGAGAAGTGTTGCGGCGAAATAGACAAGCAATCAAGCCAACTCCAGAAGCACTACCAGCATCAGAGGATGACCCCGAAACAGCCCTGTCACCGCCCACAGACTCTCTGTCCAGCACAGCCGGTCCTGTGCCCAGTCCACCAGCACTAAGATCGAGTTCTAGGACTATCAAACCACCCGTGAGATTCCAGGACTACGTGTGTTAAGGACATGGACCATAGTTCTCATACCTTTATAGTACAGTTACAGTTTCAGAACAATGAACAATAAGATGCTATTAGAGAGAAAGTTTAGTTTTTTATGCGTTGATAAAAGGGGAGATGTTACAATATACGCCTCTTCCGGTTGATTGTTATTCGTAGTGATTGTGCAATGACGATATATCGAGTTACGTGTGATCCGAATAAAGTTCTCATGTCATCCTGCACATGGTCGTGTACACAACTTGATACACATAGCAAAAATACTTTTTTGGTCTTAAAAGAAGGAACTAATTTGTTTTAAAACTGCATGCTAAAGAATCGTTCTCGACAACACGTCCCGATATTAGACTACATGTAGGCTTTTCAATGTCAGAAAAAGTAGCTGAAAGTGACCTTGAATTCTACCTTCAAACGAAGTGCACAAGTTTGGAACTTGCTGCTAACCTTCAGCATGCACACATGTAAAACTTGATAAATTATTATAATTAACTTACTAAGGCCCAGTTCAGACGTCGTGCTTCTGCCCTGCCGAACTAAATTGCAATTTGGTTCGACTGTAGCACGGCAGGAAATCAACTCTGATTCAGACGTCGTACCAGAGCCGAATCAATTCAGGGTTTACTGAAGCCTCGTAACAATTCTCCTCCTAACTCTCGTCGGGGAACGCAATCTCACCAAAACACATTAACATAATTTATGAATTTAGTTTGGCGTTTGAATCACTGTCGTGCCAGAGTCGTGTAGCACGGCAGAGCTTGTCGAACTTAATTGCTTGCCAAGCGTAATTCAAAAGTTTGATTCAGACGCCGTGCTTCTGCCGTGCTTTTGTCGAACTTAATTCCTGAATTTAGTGCGGCACGGCAGAAGCACGACGTCTGAACTGGGCCTAAGATAGCTGAAATGTTTGAAAAGCTCATGGGAAACTCTAAGATTAAGAATGTCCCATTTGGCAAAGATATGCTTGTTAAAAAGGGACAAAACAACAAGATCATTATTTATATGACAAGACGGTGATATATACTTCGAGATTCGTATATATTCATCAAGATTCGTGGTTTAGTGTACGATGTGGCGAAGAGACCAACTCTTGGCTGTTCTGGACGAGTTTAATGTACCTAAACTCGTACATTAAACTTGTACATTAAACTCGTCCAGAACAGTCAAGAGCTGGTCTCTTCGCCACATCACTAAACTACAAATTCATGTCGAGACATTGTATCCTCTGGATCCTCTTACTGGGAGTTCATTGTTAGGTATACCAATTTTACACTGCTTTTATACCAAGATTCGTGTATATACATCAGAATTCATATATATACATCAAGATTTGCATATATACATCGAGATTCGTGTAAATACATCAAGATTCCTCAGCTTAAATACTAATCAAGCATTGTAAATGTACAGGAACATTAAAATTTGTGTATGTACATAAAAATTTGTGCACATTCATCAACATCTGGGCATACAATGAAGATCTGTTTAAGATACATTAAGATTTTTGCATACATTAAGATTCATGCATTTCAGAAAGCGTGACCGCTGGATCGATTATCGTGTTTTCAAACGAAGGGGACGTTTTTCTTGAAGTCATAGAAGTCATGTTGAGAGAATGCCATTCTTTTTGGTGATTTTTCTTTTCTTTTCCATTACTCATTTTTGCCATGTATGTCGCGTTGTCACCTAATAAGTCTCTTAAGTCCTGCGGCGGTGGGGGTGGGGGTTGGGGGATGCTGTATAAAAGGACAGGGGTGTTGGTCAGAAATTTTGAAAAGAATCCCTATGGAGCTAGTACCAAGATCCTGTTTTGTGGGTGACTTTGTGGCTTGAAACTTTTTTCACCCATGACAGGTACCAATTCTAAAACAAGACATAATCACTGGTCCTACTTTTTTTGGCTCAATACCTTAAAAGATACCGCAAAACTCTCGCTGTGAACTTTTGAGGCTGAATACCCTAAGAGGTACCAAAACCCATTTTTAACTCTTGAAAGGTTCAAGGAGCACTCCCTTCCTTTTTATATTGGAGTCTCCCCTCCCCCCCCCCTCTCCCCCGGGTCTTAGGTAGGGCATTTGAACAACAGTCTGTAGAAAATGTCAGCAGAAAATGAAGAGATTGGAAACTGCAACAATTATTTACCTGAAAGTACACTTAGAGAAGATGTCAGAAGAACTTGAAATCTCTGCAATTCTGCACGAGTTGACACCTATTATATGGTTGATAATTGAGGAAAAAAAGCATATTTTTTTTTTAAGTATGAGGTCATAAATTTGTGCTAGGTAAATTCATTTGCCATTGAATGTTGATTTTTTCAGAAGAAAATTGGAAGATGATGTACCGTCTATAGATTGGGATGAAGCTTTGTCAAGGGATGACGTGGATGCACTTATTATTAGCACAGAAAATGACACTCACGAAGAGTATGCCAGGTGAATCGTGATAATTAATTAAGCCCTCGACCTTTCTACAGGGGGACTGTCAACAGGGCATTGGGGAGGGTTCCTGTTTTGTGAGTCAAATGAGTCAATGAGTTATGAGTCATGAGTCAATGAGCCATGAGTCAAGTTGTGAGTCAGGTCAACGGTTTTCAAAATTCAAAATGGTGTATGTCGCAAAACTGGGAGTAAGTATTGACTGAATTCGGTGGTTCGCTATGCAATGATTTTTGTTTCTCGAATTCATTTTAATAGACGAACAAGTTTAGAAATTACTTGAAATTACTCAAAGGAAGCTAGTTACAGCAAAAGACCTTGGAATTTTCTTGCTGAAATGGGTTGGAAAAGACGGGCGACTGCCTTTGCTTGATCACAACTGATCACTCCCAAGAAGTTGTACAACAGACCTACTGACCGGAGTACCTGATATGGTAGAAAATATATGGTTTGCCACCTTTAAATCTAGTGTAGAACCTTTGGAACCTAAGCCAGCACCAATAAACAGCATGTCATTTGCAGCAGATAAGGATTTACTACTGTCCCTCACGCACATTGCCAAATATATTAATGACATGGGTCATAAGATCAATATCCAATATGCAATAGACCCGAACATCAAGACAAAGATAATTACTCCTTTTCTGCACTGAATGAAAGTAGAAAATAGACAATTTAATAAAAAAACTTAACTAGTGAGCAGCACTCTGCAAACTGTAGTTGTATAACTTCTATATTTCTCCTACGCGTTTCGTGTGACTAACACACACTTCATCAGGGAGTTTAACAATACAACACGAAGCACCTGTATATATACCTAACTCATACTAGAGTTTACATTTCGTAAGAACACACCTATGGATATACATATAGGGATGACAAACTCCACGGCAATACGTCTAGGAAACAGGCGGTAAATTCTGGCAAGGTGTGACATATTTTATGCGTGATATAACTTTGGGGCCCACAGTTTTAGGTAAAACTGTGGGCCCCAAAAATTACTTACTTACAAAGATTAGCTAATGTCACAGTTTTCTTGTAACATACTGTACAATCTAATTCTGGGAAGATAGTGCTAATAATACTCTTAATATGTGCATGACTACAGCTGAAGGTAGTCTTGAAGACAATAGCCACACGGTCCTACCCAAGCTACAATCATGGACGAAAGTCTTGATGCTTTTGCGCACACGCCAGATGCAAACATTACTTCACCTGCCTAACCTTGCCCCCCACCCCCCATACAATGTTGAAAACTACTACCTGCAATTTCTTCTGATTTTCAACATTGTATTGGGTGTGGAGGGGGAACAGTAATGCGTTATTAAAAGGAAAGCAGCACTTTTTTCAAACTTCAGTAGTAAAACACAGATAATTCGTTA